TCAAAACAAACCATGTGCCACAAATTTAACATTGTTAGTGAACTTTCCCTTTAAAAAGGCAGTAAACAGTGGCTCAGTTAATCCTGACCAGGTTGCTATGACAACATGCCCTACAGGCAACGTGATGGTTAGTGACCCATTTCTCTAATGTATGTTTACCAGACAGGGGGCATGGACCCCTTCCTAAAGCATACAGTGAGCAAACAAAACTAGACAAGTTCTGGAGGTCACATAGTATGACCAGTGAAGTGTGACTGGTGTGAGGTAATGCAGTAAAGAAACTTGTCTCCATGTCACTCCACTGATCCATAGTTGATAATGCAGTCAGCGGTATACCTCATGGTTGGCCTTGCTGTTCAGCTCTGTGGCACTGGCTGAAGGAAGAGCAGGTTCTATGTGGGGGTCTTGCGTCGAGCTGTCATTCTGCGAGACATTCTGGCCCTTCCTCTTCTGCGTCTTTTTCGTCGCCCCCGCACCGTTGCTTTTCGCCCGCTTCTGTCTGTAGCTAGCAAGCTGCGCAGGAAGGACAGTGAGAGGTAGACGGACACATACGTCAGGACCACCGAGCACCACCACACGATCAGCATGGTGATGCTCAGGGGTCGAAGGTAAAACAGGACAAGAGTCCAGAGTTATCTCCTCAGTATTAGAAATGTATATATAAAAGTTAGCAAAACATTATTCTGAAGTCTCTACACAGAGTTTAAGTGCATATGTGTACAAGTTGTTGACAGTCAACAGTGTAGAAAGGAAAATAGATTTGTAGCCCTTATTTTGATGAGTCAGTTGTGGCCGCAAAGCAAGAAGAAATCCCAAACTCAAATCCAAAATAGACAGCACCATAGCCTGGCAGGTTATCCCAGTTCAAAGTGAGGTGAGGATGCTAAATATTCTCAAATCTCCAGAGGACTGTAGCAGGCCCATGAGAAGTGCAGATTTTAGTGACACACATTGGACAGTCTCTCAGCAGATCACAAACAGAGCAAGGTTAAAAGAGGTACACATCTTTGTCACTTTGCATTCTTCAGCTTGTAGAAATGTCAAAATCAGACAGATGCAGACTGTCCGATCGAGGCTTTTAAAAGCTTCTTAAAGTCTTCTCTGAAGCCCAAAAAGGACAAAACTAGCAAGAATGTGAACCTGAGAAATTTATCCCCAGTAAAAAAAAAAAAAAAACACAATCCAAAATCAAGCCACAATATTTAGCTTGAATTCCAAGGGGGCCGATTTTGTACAAATTCACTTCAGGCTATTTCTCTTTGCAACAGACTCCTCCTCTTTTTATCGCTGCCTCTCTCCTGGCCTGTCTCTCTTCTTTAAGCAGCTTAAGTCAGATTACAGCAGTTCACATTGTGACAGAGACCCTCATAGAGCTCTCCATCAATATCTGACAGTCAATCATTGACTTCCTCTCTTGCTGGTGGTCAGACCTGTCAATTCTTCGGATCAGGGCAGTTGTTCCACTGTCCAGATGAAGGTCTTGCAGTATGCAGGTAACAGCACGGTCGGCTCAACCTCTCATCCTAAAACTCACAGCCACAGCCAACGTACAGAGCAGAGAAATCCACAAACTCTGGATAGAGGATGGCATGCATCTAGACTAAGGAAAGAGGGTGGAGACTAGGAGATGCATTCACACCGAGAGGAGGAGACAAAGCTCTGTGTGTGGCGAGCTGCATCAGAGTGTGCATGCTCAATTCAATTTGAGATTACATGGCTCCAGGAGACCTACTTGTTGCTTTGTGCAATGAGTCACATGTGTGACGCATGACAACATTCTGTGTGCATATGCACCGATGTTTATTCTGATGACATGTTACATGCCCAATCATTTAACCACATTGAAGGTTTTGCTTTATACTGCCATTTTGCAACATTAAATGCATGAACGAACACTGTACGACTTCCCTCTTTTGACTCCTCAAACAAGGTAAAAGCATTGTATAAAACAAATCATTCCATCAATTCACCACACTTAAATGTCTTCTCAACTCAAATTGTTGCCTCTCTTTTTCATTAATCACTTAAAACCCCACCCATCCTCCAGTCACCCTCTTCACTGCCTCCTCCTGCCACAAAACACTTCACATCACAGAAAGACATCATCCAGATGAGCTGTGTTTAGCCCAAGGCCACTTCCACACTAGTGAGAGTCTGACTAACCGGCTTGCTGGAGCTTAATGTAGCAAAATCTGATGCAACTAGGCTGCTGAAGGCTGCTACTGTGTTCTCAACAACGTCATCATTAAGGCAGGTTCAGGGCTTGCTAATGTGTCTATTGTTGGTCAGTTTTTTTGTTCACGTTTGTGTTTGCTGCATGCATTTTTATAAAGAGGTGCTGTGCTTTCAATATCGCTGAGAAATCAGAGCTTTTGATGCAGCAAATACAGTCAAGGCAACTGACAGGAATGCATTCCCATAGCAACATCATCCATGTGAGACACAAGCTCAACATTCAACCTCATTAAATCTCATGGGCTCACTGCACCACCTGATGGCCTTCAACCAGCATGACAGTGTGTGTAACATGCATGGCTATTGTAAGCATTCAAATTATTATTGCAAAGCAATTTTTCCTCAGGTTGACAATCTTGATCATCTATAGTGAATCGTTATTTAAAGAACTGGGGAGCTCTGGTGCAGAAAAGCAGAAGAAAGTCATTATTGAGAAACAAAATCAAAAACAAAGAAAAGAAATCCCAAATAAGTAATGTGACACACCCACAATTCTCCACCAGTCACCACTTTCTATACTTACCGACTGGCTTCGAGGCATGCTGAAAGATGTCTGTCATAAGGAATATAAATGTTTCAGCTGAGTTATTTCCAAAGCATAATACCAATGTACTACCCAAAATTCTCTGATTAACCTCCACCATGAGCTGGAAGTAGACTATAGCATCAAATCAATGCAATATAATTAGCCACTCTGGACATGAACACGCGACCTGGTTTTAAATGTGGTTTTCAGTCAACGTGGCTTATTGTCAACACAGGTCAAGCCATTCTTGATTATTGGCCCATTACTAATATGGCCTCCCATTGAAGTAAAAACAGCTGCTTTCCTTTTCTATTGTTGACAACACCACAGTAGCCATTTCACAGATAGTGAAATCATGGGATACTCCATCTCTAATGACACACACAGGCATCAGCTGTTGTATATGTTACTTACATATAACTTAATACTAATAGTTTAGACAGCTGGACAAAAGGGGCAAAACAAGAATGGTCAACATCTAAAATTAGAACCCTGAGTAAACCATCATATTTTTCTTAAAACTTTGAAGTTGCGCTATAATTGTTTCACACATACAGCTCACTTTTACTGGGCACACAGCTGTAAAATGATTCTCTATGTTGGTGATGGTTGCAATGGTTGTTGAGTAATGTGCAATGTGTACATTTAGCAAAAAGAAACGTTACGCTAAGAAATGACTGTATGAGTAGTGGCGCTAACCATGATCCAAAGACTTTCAAATGACAACATCTGCTGCACCTGCACTGAGACTGAACACGGCTCAAAGGCAGGACTTTGAAAGATCTGCATAAAAAAGCAATTTCACAGAGTAGAACTAACTGACTTACTGCTATCCTCAAACTAACTTTTATGATAATCGATCCGTTTCATTAGCTGAGTAACCTACATCAGAAATGTTATCATCTCTTGATATATGCTACTTCAGATAACTTAAACGGTGAACTGCGCGGCGAAAGCGTGTATTTTACCGGGTAAACAGAATGTAACCAACGACGTATATAAAGTAATTGTGGGGGTGGGTGTAGTTAGCAGTGGACACACGCAAAGCTATGACAAAAGAGTTTGCTAACTGCTAGCATTCAGTATTAGCATGCGTTAAATGTTAGCAACAAACCTTAGCTTTCCCAGCTTCTAGTTTCCTCCGTCGTTCATCTTCATCCATGACTTGGTTCAAATGAAACCACCAAAAGTTTAGGACATACGTCCTGATTAAACAACAAAGTACAACAGACCTCCGCTTGTAAAATAAGTTAGTTAAAACAAAATCTTTGAGCTTCCTTCACATACAACTGTCAACAGATAATATTCAATATGGCCGCCAAGTCACTTCAACTCCGCCCTTATCGAGTTTTCTTGAAATAACGGTCCAATCAAATCGTTACTCTCTACATCTTCAGCCAATGGGGTTCGCGTACCTTAAATACGTTCCCGCATAACTTAAAACCACCGCCCATCTTCGAACATCACACAGAACTGAAACCAAGCTGACAAATTAGATGGCCGCGTCCAGCCGCCTATCTTGGATTGACGGCTCTTTAAGCCAATCAGAGCAGGCCAGTGCAAACAAAGCCCCGCCCAACTCAGTGTTTTGAATGTACAGAATCCTCCACTGGCTGAGGAATTTCAAGCATGGTTTCTGGGGCAACAGAACAACCGAACATGAAGGCAGGGCGGCAAATGTTTCCACCACTCACACTACAGGTTGTACATTCAAAACTAGAGCAACTGCTGGACTCGTTTGTATTATTATTATTTTTAGGTTGTCTTTAATGAATAAACAATTTATTTATCAATACATGTAAATGAAATTAGTACCTTAAGTATCCAAGCAGTGCGCATTTACAGTGTGAGTGACTGTACACAAATGGATATGACTGTAGACTAATATGTAGTGTAATGTATGATGAGACAACAGCCTACAGTTATTACCAATAGGTTCATTAACTAATATGCACCCACATTCAGGCCAAGTTTTAGGATTCTGAGTTTGCTAAGTGTGTTGTAACCAAACTATTATTAAAACCTCAAATCAATTAAACATCTTTAAAAAATGAAAACTGGTAAGGTTATTCGATCTTATTTAATGTCTTACTCTCTGCAGCAATACAGAAACCAAGCCCAGCAGGTATGCAAAGTCATGTTAAGTTCCAGTGGTAAACAGGTGTGTCCCATGGCAACTGCTGTGTGGCTTTTGTTTGACTCAAACACACAGGTACAAAAGGCGTTCGTGTTCCTCCAAATGTCAAGACTTCAGGTAAAAGTGATGTTACAGCAAAAGTATTTACCTGCATTTCTGTTTAGATGTTTGGATATAGTGTTTTATAAATTTCTATTTATTTCTTCCATTGCGTCAATTCGTAGGATGGCAGTTCTGTGGCTGATCAGTTGACAAGACTCCGACTCAAACTGCTCGAGAAGGTAGGTGAGATGCAGAGTTGTTTACAGTTTCAAGGTGAAATAGTTTTTGCTTGCTTTTTTCCACCTTTCCTGAGAATAAACCACCAAATTCTTACTGATGCTCACAGAGACTGGAAAGCAAAAAGAACAACATGGATGACAGAGTAGAGTCTGCACAGTCTGCAAGTAAGATATCGAGTATTTTATTAACAGTGGAAGGCATCAGTTAGGCCTGCCTTAACAAACATTCATGCAGCGGAAGCTAAAATTACTTCCCAAGTTATACAAATAGATAATGTGCAAAGGTGACATACACCTGAATGGTAATGAGCAGATGTCAAGTTCAACATTAACACTGTACAATAACAAATTCCTGCATCAAGAAATGCATTGATTTGTATTGAATTATTTCAACACAAAAGTCGTATGAACTGATAAAAGAGGTAAAAAATAATTGTATTTACATAAAGCATGGTGATAGGTGATGATCAGTGTCTGATATCATGAATTTATCTGTTCAGGGAGTTACGATGGGCAAATGGATGCACTCCACCGTGCACTGAGAAGAAAGCAGGATCTTCTGCAAAGACTGAGAGTCAGTGCAAATTCTTTTGTCTTTGTATTTTATGATTTCATTCACATACTATACCTTAAAATGAATCCAGGAGAAAAGCATTTAAACAGCATTTACTGTTTCCTTTGTCATTACGAGAAGCAGTATGAGGTGTTTCTGTGCAGGAACAGTATATGTTAGAGGACCTCAACAGACTTCACACCCGGGGAGGGTCACTAACACAACAGTACCAGTCGCGCTTCATAACTCCCCCTCAGCTGCCCCCACCGCCTGCACCCATGGCACCCACCCACATCTACCGGCCAGCCAACAGTCCATCCTTCCTGTCCCCTTCACTACCTGCCATGCCTCAGCCTCCACACATCATCCAACAGACTGTGAGATAATCTGACAAACATCCCAATCCCCCTAGATCTATTACTTTGTTTCAATGTGGTCTGTTAAGTGTATTTAATCTTCTTTTCCTCTTCCTGATCCCTAATCCAAACTAACCTACATTAAGTAAAATAAAAAGCATATGTTTGGAGGGATCAGAGTTAAAATGCTCTGGTGAAATCCCTAAAAAAAAAAAAAAATTCTGACCTTTTGCCTTCCCTATATTATTCTGTAATATAATTTTAATTTGCATACGTGCAGTTCCATTTGTTGCATTTAAGCTGTAAAAAAAATATACACAGAAAAAGTTTTTGATCTTGCATAAATGTCTTTTGCAAACCTGAAAAACTGAGGTTATGGAAGAAATATGGGGGAACTATATTATATTATTCTTGAGACTTTTGTTTGAACAGATTTGCACAAATTAAACATGCCAACCTTTCCCACTCTGCATGCAGCTAACCCAGCACCCTGCCACCATCATACAACAGCTGCCACAGCACCAGCCTCGAATAACTCCGTTTCCTCCACGGCAGCCCTATCCTGAACCACGGTCAGGCAGCATCAAAGAGGGTACTTCACAACACACAAAGATGTATGCTATTTGGGTCTTCCTGTATCTGCATGTTTCTATATGTATTTTTTTTGTGTCAGACATGGTGGAACTGATGCTGATGCAAAATGCTCAGATGCACCAGATCATAATGCACAACATGATGCTGAGAGCCATGCCTCCAATGGCCCTGTCACCACCCGGAGGGTCCCATCACTGTGCCCCTCACTCGACATATCTTGAGCAGGTAAACACAAACACACGCAGTCTGACATAGAAAAAAAAGTCTCTCATCCTCTACAAAGTTGTCATATCTGTCTGTCACCAAAGTCCCACATCTGTGTTTCCAGGACAGTTACCAAGGAAGTCCTCTTTATGTGAGGCCAGATGTCAAAACAGGGGGAAGTGCTGTCCATCATCACCATCATCATCACTATGGTCTTAACCCCACAGCACCACAGCTGCCTCCCATCAGCTGTGTTACATGGCCACCTGAGGTGTCCTCTGTCCCAGCAGGACTTACAGGGGGACAGATACCATCATTACACCAAACAGCACCTGTTACACTCCCACCGCTCTAATATGCTGCACATTCATGACAACACACTCGTTGTATATACACACATCTCCCTCATTAATCTACACTCGCTGATCTATAATAACAAAGTAGAAGAAAGAGTAGATTTATGGGGGGAAATGACAGAACAACATAAAATGTAAAATGTAAAATGTACAAAAAAGTGAAGGGGTTCTTATGTGTCGGAATAAAAAAACTGCATATTGAAAAAAGCTCACAGATTATTTTGGATGTGATGCTGAACCCTGGTCAAACATTATATAAACAACTCAAACCTAAAAAGAACCAAGACCGGATACAACATGGTCCACTGCTAAATCTGAACATAAATAAAAACAGAGAACTCTGACTCACTTACAAAACAACAGAAAGTCTACGTGAAGTAAAACTAATGTTACAAGCTGCTTAAGTAACATCCCCAAAACTCATTTACTTGTTATTTTAGCTGGAGGCAATTACACACAATAGATGTTTTGAGGAGGAAGAGGGGAGATTTCATTATCCTTGTTAGCAAAATGAGCAAAAAACATCCCACTTGTTGACAAGCCATTCTTTGTGTGCCCCCGTGTGTGTGTGTTGGGTGATGGTATGGGAGAAGGGTGGTGCTCCCACTGGGCCAAAACACACCAAATCGCCTGTTATTTACAGGTACAGTTTTTGTTAATGTCAACCTTTTGGGCGAAGTTGACAAATCTGAAGAAATTATGTGATGCATTCATCTAAACATGGATCATAGTCTCAAAAGAAAGTTTCTACATCTTGCAGAATCCACGCTTCTAAGAACGGTGATTGTTTAGAGAGCGAAGGAAGGCTCTTATTTAGTATTAGAACGGTCCCCCCCGATAACCGAACACTGGGAACCCCAAAAAAGTGACAAAGTCCTTGCAGGCACAATCGTAGCTATTTGGCTTATAATAACTGAAAATATGACATACTGTATGCTAAATATACAACTAATACCATCAAAGTACGTGTAACATTAACTAACTAGGACGTTTGTGTTAGCATTGGGTACATAGCTAACATGGGGACCCCTTTGCTCCCGAGAGAAAAGTTGCGACGAAAGAGAAAAGAAACGTCGCCCGAACAGGGACTTGAACCCTGGACCCTCAGATTAAAAGTCTGATGCTCTACCGACTGAGCTATCCGGGCTCTGCGAAGGTGGTTTTAGGGATCTAATAAGAACATAACGCGGTATAAAGTTATGTCTGCTTATTTGTTTTGCGGGTTTTGTGCATTTTACATTTCCCTCTGCCTTCATAACGCGACACAAACGCATTATGTTTGTAGCTAACTGCGCTAGCATAGCTTGTTAGCAACGCTAGCAGGCTAAATGTTGACTTTTGGCTAACTGCTAACTGTCAATATCATTCGTAGGTGCTACGACTGAGCCAAAATGTATGTCATGTGGGCTAACGCAGCTTCACAACTTCACTTGTTGTGATATAAGCTTGTTGTCAATAACGGATTCATCATAAATATGTGCTTGTTTTCAGTCTACACACAAACTCCTTACCTTGTCTTTATTAGATGAATTTACAGCTGTACAAAATGGTATTTTACAGGATCTATAAAACAAAAACCCAACAATCACTTTTATTAGCACTGAATCCCTGCATCCTTCACCGTCGTACCCGTCCATCAGTGTGGTAACGCTTCTTGATGCCAACAGAAAAAACAACCTGGATTCACAGCTGTCGATCATCATGGCACATCCCTTTGATAAATAAAATAATTTAAAAATATGTATACGAAAATATACACAAACACACAATCCGACTTGAATGATGCCCTGTGGATTAACAAATTATTAAAGTGCATAACTCTTGATTTACAGAATTGGCTTAATGACAGGGAAACTGCCATGCTGTGACTAAGCAGAAGGTGGTACACAGAGCAGTTCTCTTGCTGTGGGGTGATCTTATTTGAACTCTTGAGGAACATGGGAGATGATGTTCATGCACATGAGCTAGAGGCCTTTTTGTATGCCGGAGAAGTCAATATTACATGCGGAAAGCAGTTGTGTTTGTTTACCGAACCCTTAAGCAAGTCTGTTGTGAAATGAATAAATGGAAAATGAACAGAAGTTGGTTGACATCAGATTAAAATGTGCTCACATACAGTTGCTCTAGTTGCACATCACACGATGCTGTCCTTACGATTGTGTAAATCTGATTAATTCAATATTTATGGTTGCTGTGAAGTAACCCGATAACATTTATTTACACAGTGCATGTGTGCATGCAGAATACCACACCGCTCTGCACAGTTGATCTTTTAAACCAACATCTGTGTGTGTGCAAATGAAGCCAGATTTTGAGAGAAGTATCAGAACACTTTAGAAAAATCTGTTTTAAATGCAGAAAGAAGTTTAAAAATATATTAAAAATATCAGGTGATACTAGTTGAGGTGTTCATATGCTTTGCAAAGAGGCAAAATGCAAGCTGAAATACAGAGCTCTGGGTTGTTTACACAGCCTCCTGCTATTGGTACAAGACCAGATATACACAATGAAAGTCAGTGTGTTACCAGCATCTTCGTGAACACATTTTGGTGAATGCTTTCATTGTTATAGAGACACCAAACATTCTTCATTTTTTTTTCTCATGCCATCTGATTTGTAAAAATGAGAACAATACAGACTGCCCAATCTGAGTTATCGTGATCACATTTTAGGCTAATTGGTTAGTACTTTGCAATGTGCAAAGGATGCCTCCAGCAGTGCTGAGTGTTTACAATTGTTGTTCAACGAGCAACAACACATGCACTTTCATTATGTAATCTTTTGACATTAGAAAACTGTGTAGTGTAATCTGATGTTATCAGTTGCTATTAGAAATAACTTGATCCTGTAGGTCCTCTTCTGATAAACAGGTTTACCCTGTTTGCCTGTTCAGGCTTACAGTAAATTCATGGATGTTATAAGAGCGTCTTTTAATGGCATAGGCGACATCAGCCTAAACTTGTCCAGATGGTTCCACTACTTGGGTATCGGAAAGAATTGTGGTGCACCCCTCTTTCACATGTTCGTCTTCATCTGTCAGATCAGACGATCAGTCCTTGACAAAGGTTTGGACAAGGATGAGGACGTGTGTTTGGTTATCTATAGAGGGTAGGACGCAGACACTTATTCACGTGGCTTGATTATGTGACCTAAAGTGAGAGAAAAAGGAAACAAAAACAAAAATTAAGTTGCAGTGCACACAGACAATTTAACATTGTCTTTTAAGTCACACAGACAGTTTTCACCTTATGTATGCGAGGAGGCATCTCATCCTCTGAGCTCTCCTCTGGTAGTGGCTCATGATGTCGTGCTGTTTGAGCCTCCTCTGCCCATCCTCCCATTGGCACACGGGCCGACCTCACGACCCTTCCTCCTGCACTGAAAGTGTCTGGAAAACAGAAAGGCATAGACGGTGTAGCTGAAAAGACATGTAAAGCGCCTGTACAGCTACTGCTCTACTAAACTGATTGTGACAAATTATACAATACTATGAAAGGTCAGCATTTCTGACACCAAGCCAGTGTGAAATCAACTAAGATAAATTTGGGGAACTACAAAGTTTTACATTAGAGTTAACAACCTTTTCTTGTTTTGTAACCTGCCTTTCAATAAAGTGTTTTCCATCTAATGCTGATCCCATGTATCTTTATAAGCTACACTAATTTTCTTCAGGTGTATTTGTTTTAGCAACTTGATTTAATTCATACAAATAATGGTCTTAGAAAGAGAGACAATATCACCAAAAGTAATGATACAGTGTAATAAACTTAAAATGAGAGTAGCAAGTAACCAAAGACATAGATACCAGTAGGAGGTCCACTGTAACGCCGCTGATTGCTGCCCTGTGATGCCCCCTCCTGGCCCAAGGTGGTACTGCTGGTGGCTGAAGCTGAACTGGGAATGGCACTAGGACTGGGAACTGTGGTGGGGAAAGTGTGTGAACGAGGGAAATGTCTGGAGTGAGGATTGGGTTCACTCCTCACTTCGTCGGGGACGCTGTCACTGCTTTCGTCACTCTCCTGCCTGTGCCACGTGTGACGGGACAGCTCGCCGCGAGACTGTTGTTTATGAAGCTGAAGGAAACGAAAATAGGGCAAAGATGAACCAGGATCCTCGATGGAGGATGTCTGTGAAATATTCATTATACCGCTCACATGCATGCACATCTATATTTACCTCATGCATGTAAAGTGCATGAATGCTCATCTCAGTGGAGGCATACTCTGACAGGATCAAACTGGTAAGCTGACCCTCCCATGCACTGCTGCCTGAGCTCACAGTTCGAGCATCAGTCCTATAGAAGGAGAGAGTGACAACGTAGAGAAAATAGGACATGAAGAGGAAGGGATAAGGGTGACAAAGAGAAAGGACAAGCTAAATTTTACTCGTTATCCACCAGCTCAAGTCAGATCAGAAAGTTACAGCCTGAAGAGGTGTTGAGATAATCTAGAGGCAGTATTTTCTTACCCAGAGCCTGCCATTGTTTTGCCTGTATGGCCAACAACCCTGTGAGCTGCACTCAAACTGCCTCTTAGGTGAAGGCTGCTGCTGATTGGGGAGAGTGAGCGCAATGCAGATGCCCCATCACTTATGCCAGCTGCTGCATGATTGGTCAAAGAGCTGTCCCGGCCAAAATGAACAGAGGCCAATGTAGAGGGGCCTGCCAGAAGGTTTGCGACGAGACTCCTCGGCTACGAGAGGGAAAGAGCAAGAGAGCGAATCCATTTTTACCACTTAAGAGCTAAGATATGACCACTGTGATACTTGAGCATGAATGTTAGTTTATCAACGTACTTCAGACTCTGACAAGGACAGTGGATGAGTGTCCGATGGAACCCCTGTGGCCTCTCTGTGAACTCTTTCTTTCAATTGGCTGATGAAGTGTGTGGTTTCTTGAGGAGGCTGCCACTGGGGGTTGGTGATGGCAAAGTGCATCAGAGATAACTCTGTTTTCCCATCCTCTGCCTGCTGGTAAATGGATGCCTCCGTCTTACCCTCTGACATCCACTGCAGAGGGAGGATGAATCATCAGTTAGACTAATGCATGTAACACAGTTCATACATGGGCACTTTAAAGACATGTCTGCATGTGTGTTATCATCTAATGTGACAGTTGCTCACTGCAGGGTGTCCATGCTGCCTGATGTCCATCTGGGCAAAGGAGCAGGTGTCTCCCACTCCGACCACCTCCACAGTGAAGTTCCTGAAGAAGTCGATGATTTCCAGTGACTTTCTCCTCAGACAGAAGATGAGGATGATGGGAGTCACCACTGGACTTAGGAGCTCCTCCAAAATAAACACCTGGAACAAATGAAAGGCTCACTGTAGAGCAGGGTAACAATCACAAGCATACCAAAGACATGTTAAAATGTGTTGTTTAAAATTAAATATTCATTTCAATTGAACGTCAAGATTTCATCTTCAGAGTTGATATCAGCTGTAGAAATCTGAGTGCAGAGCAAATGTCTATTTCTAATTAGTTGCATCTCAGCATGGCACCAAAAGCCAGATTGCTTTAGTGAATACTTGAGAGGAGAATTTCTTTTTAAGTCTCTATGTGATATGAATGCAAATAACTGTGAGTGTAAAGATGCTGTGAGTAGACAGACAATATTCTCTTTAAAAATTGCACGAAAAATGACAGTATAACTATTCATGTCAATATAGTCATGGTATATAAAAATGGAATGCAGCCACGATGTATATTAGCACCTTATGTTTAAAAAGAATATACTTTTTACAAGCTAGTGCTGACATTTATTACTCATTCAGTATTTGTACTCACTGCTTTGTACTGGAAGAGCTGGGAGAACTGGTCTCGGGTCTCGTATCTATGTGCATTGCCCTGCCAGTGGTCAGGCATGTAGTGAATATGAGCCAGGATGACCCGCAACAGCTGCTCAGGACAGAACACCATATGCTTATCAGGAATAAATGATCTGTGGAGAGAGAGACAGAGAGACAGAGAGAGACAGAGGTGGTGGAAATTAACATAGTTTTACTACTAAAGCTCTACAAAGCAATACATATATAATACCAAGTTGCCACTGCAGCTTTGCAAAACACACACTATATTAGACAAAACTTAAAAGGTGCCCTCACTGAAAGTACTGACACCAACGTCAAAAGAATAGATTTAACTACATAGAAATTGTGTTTACGTAACAGTATCTAACCATTCCCCAATCAGGTAAGAGCTAACTTAGGTTGAAGGAGTCACAGGGTGCTTATTGAAGGAAACCCTCTTCTACTCATCACTTATATAACAGAAGCACTATTTAGGTTTAAAAGGGCAACAAACAAATGCTCACGGTTAATGATTAACATCTGATGTAGTTGAGATTATTGTCTTAAATTTATGTTTTCTATTCAGATTTGCAATTCAAAAATTTGTTTTATAGCAATGAAGGTGTAACGGAAAAATACTGCATCTGCATGAAGAATGTCAAAGCAAGTTTCACTAACTTTCATTAAAGCTGAGTGGAAAGGTTTCAGGCCCAAAAATGTGTTCCCATAACATCTAGGTAAACACTAGTGGCTGTACATAGGAAGAAGAAGTTGTGCATCTCATGTGTTTAGACTTTTGATGCCTGATCCAGTGTGTTTAGTCTTCTAATGTCTGTGGATGAGTACACCCTGTACACCCAGCTGTTGTTTTCCAGCATGGGATTGTTCTACTACCGTTGGAGTAAAGACCACGCCTGTACATGTATAAGAATACTATGCTGCCTGCACTCATGTGTACTCTCCTGCAGACTGCTTGCATTCTGTATGACCTGTACCTTCAAAGCTTTGAATAAAACAAGACAAAGACAACTCGGACTACTGGACTTTATGTAGATCATAGAAAATTTCCATAACAAAGGTAATACATTAGCGGCAATAAGAGGACCGCTACTGGTGTACTTTAGCTATTTTCTTTTCTGGTTATCTGCTGCAGGCTGTGCTGTCATCTCCACCCTCCTCTGCTTTGCCACTCCACTGAACTATTATTGCCTTTGGGCTTTGTTGTGTTATGTTGTATATCTGACTAATCATTAACTGATTCGTCTCTGTGTACATGAAATGTGTTGGTTTAACAAACTCATTAAACTGATTTTGCACATGCAAATTTAAATCGATGAGAATATCAGACGTACTAAACCAGTGCCTACCTGCAGACTGTGATACACACTCCAAGCAGTGTGATTGATGAGAGAACATGCTCCACTGCAAGAACGTCCTCATCATAGATGGTCAGGGCGATGAGAACGGCCAAAAGAGACCCCGCGAAGAACGCTACATTTTTGGCAACCACTGTCAGCAGCGGTGAAAGGAAACAGTTCATATACTTGGATGCAGCCTGAATAAAACAGAAATAAAGAAGAAAGAACAGGAGGACAAAAGGAGGAAACACGCTTAATTATTAACTCTACAAACAATGAATGAGAAGCACCAGCGTAAGTATGAAGAGCATGATTGGAACACAAAATCATTGCAGCATTAAGGGAACTTCTGCACTGCTATCTACAAGCTTTTTTCTTTGCACATGTTTTAAAGTAAAGAATAAGTCAGCTTTATAAATTTAGGGAGTGAAGCAGGATTTACAGTCAGATTTACGGTCTAGCTTTTGTGAAGCCAGGTTTAGTAGGATGAATAAACTTAGGACCAGGAAAAATGGGCAGGAGAAGAGGGGGTGCACTGACCTTGTATCCTTTGCTGAGGCGTGACATGAGCTCATGGTCCAGTTCATTGAAATGACGCAGGTAACATCGACCATAGAGAGACCAACACCTTGCTCCCAGAGAACCAGGCTCTCGCTTGATCACCTAGGCACACAAAACTACTGTCATGATGACTAAATGCAAAACAAAAATAGTTTAATTTTTTAATGCTTGTGTGAACAATTTACCTCAGTGTAACTGAAGAAGGCGTAGAGAATCTGCCACACCAGAATGACCGGACACAGCAGCAGATTAGCAATGCCAATCCACAGAATACGTGACGCTAGCCTGTCTGCAAGCTCAAGCCTGTTACCTCCTCTCTTATACTCTGGTTTCAGGCTCCACTCGTTCTCAAACAGAGAGCCTACAGAATAAAGAACAGCAGAGGCAAAAATAAGACTTCTTTGTA